GTTTGTATCACTTGAAGGTATCTCAGCAATGCTTTGCAGTTTTGTTTATCGTTCTGGAACATATTTTGGTTAAACTTGTCTAAATCTATTATATTTTGATGGTGTTATTAAGCATATTTTTTCATTTTGGCTTTCAATTTGCAATCATTCATCTATATATATATATATTGCTGGATTTAATTTGCTAAAATTGCATTAAGAACGTTTCGGTACATTGTGCACTGGTCTGGAGTTTTAATATCATTGCCTGGTTTTGATATCAGATTAAAGCTAGCTTTATAAAATTAATTGGGAGGTATTCCATCCTCTTATATACTAAAATAATTTCTGTAGAATTAGGATTATTTCTTAAGTTTTTGATGAAATTCACTAGTTCTTAGTAGGAATGTTTATAACGACTAATTCAGAGTCTTTAATGGATAGGATACTATTCAGATTATCTATTTCTTTTCTGAAATAAACCTGGTTGGTTGGCATTTTTCAAGGAATTTTTGCCTGTTTCTTCTAATTTTTATAGAGTAGTTTAAAATAATCATGTATTAACCTTTTAATGTTTCTAACATACTTAGTACTATCCCATCTTTCACTGACATATTTCAATGTCACTCTCTGAAACATCTTCTTTCAAGCAGCAGTAATAGCTTATGACACCCTGGTTATATACGCTTGGAGGTAGTGGTTGTGTTCCATCGAGTCGATTCTAACTCATAGCGACCCTATATGACAGAGTAGAACTGCGCCATAGAGAGTCCTAGGCTGAAATATTTACATTAGCAGATTTCCAGGTCTTTTCTCCTGCACAGCCACTGGTAAGTTCAAACCTCCAACCTTTTGGTTAGCAGCTGAGCACTTAATCAGTGCTTCACTAGTGCTCCTTTACATACTCTTGCAATCCCCCATATTTCTCTTTCTATAACTAAACTAATAATTTCTTTTATAAGGATCAGCACAAAGCTGGTTCCTGTGAGGCAAAGATTAAAGATGTCCTAAATGTCCAACTTTTCCAAGCTGCTGTATCACTCCATCATCTCTAACATCAACTACTCCCTCTCCCCTCAGCACTCTGCCTCCTGTCTTTGGGTTCCCTAATTTGCTGCAATGTCTCACAGAACTCATGAACTGTATAAAGGAAATAGCTTATGCAGTTGTGGAGGCTGGCAAGTCCCAAATTTGTGTATCAGGCATAGGCTTCTCTAAACCCATGTAGCTGCAGGAGCTGACTAACCCAAACCAGCTGTTCAGACCACAGGCTGCTAGTTCAAAAGGCTGTGGAAGCTGGCGAATCAGGTCACACAATAGGCCACTGGCTCAAGAGGCTGTGGAGGCCAGTGAATCCCAGAGTTGGCAGGTCAGACAGCAGGCCTCTGGGGAGGTCAATTGATCATGAACCGGCCACGGGATCTAGATGCAGAGAGAGACACACACATATATCTTAGATGCAGGCCACGCCCCGGGAAAGGGCATCACTTTAGTAAGGGTGGGACTTAAATCACACTGTCCTGAAAGGCTGCGACCCAAGATACACCTTACACCATTCCTGCCTCATCAACATGTAGAGTTCAGGATCCACAACACATAAAATGGAAGACAGCCACTCCATACCAGGTAATACGGCCCAGCCAAGTTGACACATAACCCCAACTATCACGAGTTCTGTATACCTTATATGCATAGTCCCACCCAATCATTGTGTGTGAGTCACAAAGACCATGGCTAGAAGGGCCATATTAAGTAATTCATTGCACCACTATAACTCACCACGACTTACTGGAGAGATATCTATCTTCCCAACTGAACTCAGAGTGATGGATCTGCTTAGCACCCATGAGAGTTCAAGTAGTATTTGTCAAATGAAATGACTGGGGACTGGATAGATGGTCATGTTATTTATAGACTGAGAGACTGTGAGTGGAAGAAACAATGTGGGGAATATTAGATGTTTGTTTAGAGGGGGGCTTATAAAATGACTGAGTGGTTATGTTCACAAGCAGTCAGATATGCCTGGCTAGAGATATGGGCACAGAACTGAGGACAAGATTTGGAAGTTCTCAGCAGATGGAACAGTTTATACTACATAGCTAATGAGTGGTAGTGATGATACAAATCATTAAATGTTCCTCCATTACTCCTGTGAAGGAGGTGGATTTCTGCTCTGACCTACTGGGAAAGACTGTGTGGACACCGAGAATGGGGGAACTCTGACAGAAAGCCACATGGGGTTGTCATGAGTTGGGATCAACTCGACGGCAATGGGTTTGGTTGTTTTGGTGTAAGTGTGTAGTAAATTTTATTTTCGGTTACACCATAAGCTCTAGAAAGGCAGAAATGTACCTGTTCGTATTTACCAATGTGTCACGGATTCCTAGCAGAATTCAGAATCTACTTGACAGCAACTGGTAATGATCACCTAAACTAAAAACAAGAAACTTGAAAACAAACAAATAACTAAATCTATCTGTAAAAATGGCATGGGGGCAGCATCTGACTTCTTCTAACTTCACAAAGGGAAAGGAGAATCGAGATCAACAGTCCAAAGCTGACCCCTACAAGGCAGAGGTCAGAGATGCCTTCTCTCTCTGCCATCTTTACCAATTCTAACACCAGCTGTCACTCCCATGGCACTCTCTACTTCTCTGCTGGGTTTGATGATTCATTGCAATGGCCACACAGACAATATGATTATGGGGTTTATTAGAGAAGTAACAGATAACAATTCAGGTTCAGGAACACTCAGGATACAGCTCTTCCATCAGGACAGCCTCTTCTCAGCTGTGTTCACAGGCAGCCTCTCTCTGGCCCTCAGCCTCTGCCATGCTTGGGTTTGTGTTACAAAGCTCTTTTAGTTCTGCTGATAAGTGCCCAGAGGCACCCCCACTCTGCCAGTAAGCCTCAGCCTGAAAGTGCTCAACCCTGGCTCTGTAGGTGAGCAAACCTAGCTCCACCAAGTGCTCAGAGGCACCCTACTCTTCCAGCAAGCCTCCTGCTCAAAGGCATTCCACTTTCTCACTCCATGGTCCAGGAAGCCCACCACACTTTCTCCTGCTGCCAGTCTCTCCTGCCGGTCTCAATGCTGGGTTCAAATGACATGCTCTGCACTTGGTCCTTCTTCCTTGGTGAAGGTGAGATCCTCTTTCTGCTCTGAAATTGGCTCTCTTTTAAGCCTAGCAGGATGACAAAAGTGACCAGTCCCCTTGGTGGGCCATAATTGCCTTATTTGCACAGTTCCACCCAATCACTTGGGTGGGAGTTATAAGACCATGGTGAGAAAGTCCACACAAAAGTGATCCATCACACCGCACTATCATTGACCTAACTGCAGAAATCAGAAGTGTTCTAGCTGTTTAACCAGATATTGCAAAGCAATGGGTTTCTCTTTATATGTGGTCTTTCCAGCCCTGGGTTTGTAGTTCTTCCAAGACGATTTGGTAGGCACAATCTTGCAAAGGGATTGATTAGTGTACTATGCAAATAAGGTGCATAAAAACAGTATGGGAATTGGTGAATTACTATGCAAACTAGGTGACTGTGGTGCGATGGATCACTTTTGTGTGGCCTTTCTCACTATAGTCTTGTAACCTCCACCCAAGGGACTGTGCAAATAAGGCAACTATGGCCCACCAAGGAGATTAGTCAGTTTTGCCATCCCACTAGGCTTAAAAGAAAACCAGTTCCAGAGCAGAAAGAGGATCCCACCACCATCAAGGAAGAACATCCAGGACTGAAGAGCACATCTTTGAGACCTGGGATCCCTGGGCCGAGAAGCTCCTAGAACAAGGAGAGAGAGCGAGAGCTCAAGAAGCAGTGGCAGAGATGGCATGGTGGGCTTCCTGACCCATAGAGAGAGAAAGCCGAGTGCCTTTGGGCCAAGGCTTACTGGTGGAGTAGGGTGCCTCTGGGCACTTATCAGCTGAGCTAAGAGCTTTGTAACACTTGCTGGAGCAGGGCAGAGGCTGAGGGCCAGTGAGGCATGTCTGTGGAGCATGGCTGAGAAGAAGCTATCCTGATGGAAAAAGTTTATCCTGAACGTGAATTGTAACCTGTTACTTCCCTAATAAACCAAATAATTGTAAGTATTGTCTGTGAATTCTGTGTGGCCATTACAATGAATTATCAAACCCAGCAGAGAAGTAGAGAGTGCTGTGGGAGGGACTGTTAGTGTCAGAATTGGTAAGGACGGTGGAGAGAGGAGGCATATCTGATCTCAGTCTCATAAGAATCAGCCATGGGCTGTTGATCTTGATTCTCCTTCCACCTTGTGAAGTCAGAGGAGATTTGACACTACCCCCACACCATTTTTACAGTGACTGTGGCCTACCAAGATGATTGGCCATTTTTGCCATCTTGCTAGGCTTTAAAGGACCAATCCCACAGAGTTTGAGGGAGACCTCACTACCATCAGGAAGAAGAACCTAGGGTAGAGTGCATCTTTTGGACCCAGGGTCCCTGTGCTGAGAACCTCCTAGATCCAGGAGACAGAGTTGTAACACTGGAGACAGCACAAGATGGCAGTGGCACATGACAGCAGAAGCATAAGACAGCAAGATGGCTGTAGTGGGCTTCTCATTCCATGGAGAGAGAGAGTTGAGCACTTTTGGGCAGGAGACTCGCTGGTGGAGTGGGGTGCTGCTGGGCATGTGTCAGCAGAGTTAAAGAGCTGTAACGCTTGCCTGAGCATGGATGAGAAGCCAAGAGCTGTCTCGGATGGAAGCTGTCCTGATTGGTGAACTGTATCCTGTCTCTTGAGTTGTTCCTGTTTCTTCCAAGTTGACCTTGACCTGAGTTGTACCCTGTTACTTCTCTAATAAACCTCATAACTGTGAGTATGGTCAGTGAGTTCTGTGTGGCCATTGCAACAAATTATCAAACCCAGCATAGAAGTAGACAGTGCCTTGGTGGGGATGGCTGGTGTCAGAACTGGTAAAACAATTGGAGAGTGGAGGTATGTCTGACTTCCACCTCATAGGAATCAGCTTTAGGTTGATGATGAGTCCAATTATCCCTCATCTTGAATTTAGATGGACTCTGATGCTACTACTACTATGTTCTAGATATAAATGCTTTCTTCTGTTCCAGAAATCGAACAAGAACTGAGAGAAACGGCTGTCATTGGTGATAAGCAAAAAGAGGCTAAATGTGGGGAAACACAAAGCCAGGGACACAAAAGTGTCCAAAAGCCACTGGCTTGGTATCACAATAAGAGCATTATAAAGAGCTGAAATGGAAGAAAGAGAGTAAAATACAAAGGCACTCACCAGGATCAGGATGGTGCATGTAGCTCTGGCCTCATGGGAAGTTCTGGGGGAGAAGCTGTTGCTGTGAATGTGTTGAACTTGCTGCTCGTGTCTGTGCAGGACGAGGACCATGGAGCCACTGGCCCAGACCAGGAGGACCAAACATATAACATCAATAGAGGAGAATATAACAGCATGTAGTAAGACTACAAATCTATCTGGAATGGGTGAGTAACAGTATCCATAATTTTTCTCCATACTCATGTTTTTGCTCTTTGACCCTGTTACATTCATAGCAATAAAAGTATTTAACGACAGATACAGGATCCAGCAGAGGAAACAGCAGAAGCCAATGCAGTTTTGGGATCTAATTCTTTGCTCCATCCATCTAGAGATCCTGGGGCAAAGCTTAATTACCTGAAAGCCACTCAGAAGGCAGGTGGTGCTGAGGGAAACTCCTCTGGCCACTCTGTAAAAATAGAAGACAAGTTTACATCCATCATCATCCAGGAAATATTTCCATCCAAAAGCTGCCATTGTCTATGGGATTCCTTTAGAGAAAAGAACCAAGTTGTTGGCTAAAACCAGCTGGTTGAGAATCAAGTCTGTAGGCCTCAATTTGTGTCCAGTGAGCAGAGAGAAGTTATAAAGACAAAGGAGGGAGGAGTTTCCCAGTATTCCTGCTCCCATCTGATTGAGGAAAATGATCCCCATTTCCAAGTTGGCGGATTCCATCATATCAATACCTAGGAGATACTGGTTTCAATTTGGGTAAAAAAAATAGAAACATAAACAAAAGTTTATTACCGCCACCTTCCCAGAAATTTTTGTAATGCTAAATCTAACACATATTTCTCATTTTGTCTCTTTAAATGGACGTTAAGAATATGTGCTTATGGGTTCAAAGATTATTAGTTAAGTTCCTATGTTGGAAACAACCCAATGTCCAACTGAAGGGGGCTGTTTCAATGAATGACATGCAATTCCCACCATATAATTCTCCACAGCTATAAAACTGAATAAAAAACATTTCTCTATACCATGTACAATGTTAGTCTGAGAATATATTCTTATTCTGGAAACTGATAATGAGAAAGCATTAATCATTTCTTTTGTATTTTCATACAGATTGTATGAATCTACATATCAGTTAAAGAACTGAACAAAGAGCAGTTTATAATGTTAAATTCTAAATTAATCATAACGTTACAGCTGTTATTACTATTTATTGACATATAACACATTACCAAATTATACAAAGCTTAAGACCCAGGAAATTAAAGGAAAAATCAAAATGACCCAATTGTAATTTATAATATTTTATTTAAATATTTTTACAATTTATTTTATTTTATTAACTTCATTTAGTTCCATTCATTTTATTTTACTACTTATTAGTTCATTTGTTTATCATGTATTATTTATTCATTTTATTTTATTTCATTATATATTATTTTAGTTATTTCATTTACTCCATTTTATTTATTTTGAATACTTTATTATATTGTGGTATTTTGTCTACTTTATTTCATTTTATTTTAATTAATTTTATTTCATTTACTTTATATTATTCATTTTGTTTTATTTTAATATTTTTATTTCATATTTACTTTCGCTTCATCTTATTATTTACTTTATGTCGTTACTTTGTCTTATATTATTTTTATTTATTTTATTTACTTTGTTTTAATTATTTTAACTACTGTATTTTAATAACTTTATTCATTTTATTCTTTTTATTTCATTTAATTTCAATTTATCTTATTTGAATTAATTTCATTTACTTTATTTTATTTTGGAGCCCT